GGGTGGGGGGGGGGGGCGCCCGCCGGGCGTGGGTGCGAGCCCCGGCTGGTTCCCCTTTGGGAGCTCATGCCATGTCCCGCACTTCCTCCCGCAGCCCCCGCCGTAGCGCCCGACGTCTGGCGGCGCCTGGGCCCCGTGAGCCCAAACGGCAGCCACGAGGTGACGGTCTTGATCAAGGTAAGGTCTTTTTTGGCAGCTCCTGTGAAATTTTCGCGTGCTCTGCTCCTCCCTGAGGACAGCACCTGCCAAGAGGCAGTGGAAAGCGATGCCCTTCCTAAAGAGCCCTTTGACCAAAGCGATGTGGGGAAGATGAGACCTCAACATGTCCTTGGGGCAAAATCTCTCCATGCTTGCAAAATCCATCCGCGTGACACCCAGCCAAGGGGACATCTGTCCTGCACTGGGGCTGCTTAGTGTCAGACCCTGCACCCATCCCCACGGGGCTGTCTGTCTCGCCGTTCGCAGCCCCTGCCGCCCCAGGATGCCCGCGGGAGGATCCTGGGCTACACCGTGGCTGCCGAGAGCCCCGGGGGAGGGGTCCTCCTCTGCAACACTTCCAGCACCCCAAAAAAACCCCCCGGCGCCCCCCCCCTCCACATCACCGCTCACAACTCCAGGGGGTCTTCCAGCCCTGCCAGCATCACCCTCAGCCAGAGCGCCGGCAACCAGGAAGGTAGGATCTCGCACACACCAACTGCAGCCTTAACAGAGATTGGATTTTATCAGGATTGCAGGAGGAAAATGCTAGCTTGTGCTAAAGCAAGGGAAAAGCTCCGGCAGAGCCCTGCCCGCTCCGCTGAGGGAACGCAACATCCTCCAGACCAGGCCAGCATCCCCTGGAGAAGGAGATGCTCTGCAGCCACATATCACAGCCTTTGGACTTTGAAGGCTGCAGCAACAAGTTTAAAACTAAGTTTGTCCTGCCTGCGTTGGCTCGGCACAGGGGTGCTCCTCTGCTCCTTGCTCCCAAAAATAGCTCCTGCTGCCTCTGCCAGGGAGGCAATCCCAGCTGTGACCCAGGGTGAAAAGAAAGGGAGGGAAAGTCCTTTCTGGGCCACCTTAGGTTCCCCGCGCCACAGGTTGCGGTTTTCCCCACAACCACACTTTCCTATTTTTGAAAAATGTCTCTTTTAATGAGCAATGGGAGGGGAAAGTCCCATTCAAATTGAGGACAAATATATGACTAAAAAGAAACTAAAGAGAAATAAGGTGGAAAAAATTCTCTAATCTCTCATACTTATCAGAATTATGCACCTTTCTTGTAAGAAATGACAGGTAAAGCATTTCAGGCAAGACATGACAAAGCTGAAGATGTGCTTTTGTAATACGTGTGTGTGAGTATAGAGATATATATAAAAATAGATATATTTATTTTTTTAATATATAGAAATATAAATATGTTTATTTTATGTATATAAAAACACCACATTCTAGCATTTCTCGTTGCCTCTTCAGTCCTTAAACACTTTCAGGAAAGCTACATTTTGCCTGGGCTTAACTGACCCTTCCAAGTCTCCTGCTCTTCGAAGATGAGGTTGGGGTGACAGCCCTCTTACCATCTCTTTCCACAGAGTTCCCGGCACCGGTGGCCATGGAGGTCAAGCCCGAGAACCAGAGCAGGGTCTCAGTGGCCTGGCAGCCCCCCCACCGCAGCGGGAGGTCCCCACTCTGGTTCATAGTGGAATGGGTTTCCACCACCCACTATAGCCAGGAGGAGCAGTATTTTTGGAAGAAAGTCCCATACCACGAAACACACACGTACATCCAAGGTAAGATATTCCAGGAGTCCTTTTGCTATTTGGTGCAGTTTTGCACTTGTTTTTGGAGAGTGGGACCATGGAGAACCCTTAGGGAGCAAGAAGGAATGAAGTAATAGGAGATATGAAGGCAGTCAGTGGGCTTTGGTCCCCCAGGTGAAGGCCACAGGGAAAGAAGGGACAGGGCAAGAG